CCACCTTCCCGCCGCAGATAATTATGTGGCGGACAGTTTACTGCGGGCCCGCAACAATATACAGCCTTCGATTACAATGCCACACCTAGAAATGGACACCTTCCTTTAAGTCCGTACTAAGCCGAAATGTAAAGGTATTTCAGTTTGAAATCGAACTTTACGAAGCTTATTCAGTGTTAGAGAGAAATAAGTGAAGATTATAATTTATGCAAAGTCATAAAGATTTACTTTTTCTAGTTTTATCTTAAAAATAGTAATATTACCTTTATATTTCTTGTGCTTAAATGTCGTTGTGACAGTGGAAGCCCACTGTAAATGTATATGTAAGTAGAGAAGGTGCAAGAAGTGTCGTGAGGAGAATTCAAATGGTTTAATTAATGCATCAACCAAAATACTATCATAGTGGAGTATAGACAGCTAGATAACGGGCCGCCTGTCACACCGACGAGCAACGCGTCTTCTTGTTTGTTGAGGAAACATTTGTCCCAAATTTTGGTCAAGTTTTGATGTGTTCACGACCTGTTTTTGGTATTACCGAAACAAAAACCGCAGTGATTTAATACCAACATTCATATCTGTCACACAATGTTAACTAAAAACCAATAATTTTTTATACGTCATGATACCGCGTTAAGCTCCCTCTGTTACTCACTACTATGTACGGGTCTAGCAATATTTGTGACAATCACCTTCGTATCGTCATCGTAAATTAAATCAAAATTAGTTAGTTACTGAATTTTTCGGTGAACACAAATCGCTTCACGATTTAATCGGTACACACAAATATTCGTGCTAACCCCACTATAGGTGCGGTGTCGGTGTGACTGGCGGCCGCTATTCTAATCAGATCGCTGCTATGATATTACCGGAGCCCAACAAACGTCGACTTCGATTCCCTCCTCGTGTCGTGCTCGTGTCGCCCCGGCATCGTATGCATTAATACCTCTGTTAACACTCACGCAATACTCACGGGAGGTAGCGGAAACCAAAATACAGTTTTTTTTATTTTTGTGGTTGATAAACCAAATGAAAAAAATGAATAACGATATACCCAGTTGTGTTAACTCTGTTGAAGTTACAAAGGTGTTTAATTAGCTCCCTGAGTCCCTTCGAGAAAACAATGGTTTGGCATT